AATATAGGATGACCTTACAGTACGCGAGCCAGAGAAGATAAAGACCATCCCAAACCGGAGGATTTCGAACAAGTATTGTCGCTTCCACCGCGACCACGACCATGACACTGACGATTGCTTTGATCTTAAAAGGAAGATTAAGGAGCTCATACAACGTGGTCACTTGAGGCAGTATGTTGCTGGCAAAGGACAAACCCCACAACCTGGTCAGGACCAGGATGGTAGAGAACGCCAACAACCCCTCAGAGAAATCCATACGATCGCCTAAGGGCTAGAAGGAGTTGACTCGAACTCTGCCAAAAAAGCCTCGGCTCACCTATGGACTCCGAACACCCAAATATTTTGTCTATCCTTTATTGTTTCAGTTGATTTATTTTGTTATTTGTTATTTTACAGAATAAAATTCTGCGAATATTATTGTGTCCAGAATTGTTTTATTTTCCTAAAAATTACAAATAGCTTACAAAAGTCAGAACATGACTTAACAACGAGATGTAGACAAAAGGCACCCGCGACCCCAACGCCAGGCGCCCAGACTAAGGGTCTTGCCCTCTGTATCTTGGGTGCTTTGACACCGCCTAGACGACGAGTCTCGACGCCTCTCACCAGGCGCCCAACTCCTCAGCGCTCTTCTCATCTCCATCTCAATGGAATGAGCTTCTCCCACAACAGCCACTTCTCAAGACTATACGTAGCTCAGCCTATGACTCTGCTCCCACGCAAGTCACCTAGTAAGCCTCTGTCACGACAGCCACTTTCGGAGACTATACGTAGCTGGGCCTATGACTCTGCTCTCGCGCAAGTCACCTTGTAAGCCTTTGCCACAGCAGCCACTTCCCGAGACTATACGTAGCTCGGTCTATGACTCTGTTTTCGCGTAAGTCACCTAGTAAGCCTCTGCCATGGTAGCCCCTTTTTGAGACTATACGTAGCTCGACCTATGACTCTGCTCTCGCACAAGTCACCTAGTAAGTCTCTGCCATGACAGCCACCTTCCAACACTATACGTAGCTCGGCCTATGCCTCTGTTCTCGCGCAAGTCTATGCCACGGCAACTACCTCCCAAAATTATATGAGCTCGGCCTATGACTCTGCTCTTGCGCAAGTCACCTACCATCCTTGAGACTATACGTAACTCAGCCTCAGCTCATGCGTCCCTCCCATGAGACGCCCACAACTCTAACTTTGTTCTCACGTAAATTGTATACCCCTCTCTCCTGGTAATCATGTTAAATATTTTAATATTGAGATAACATTGTCTTTGTCAAGCATACTACTGAAGCTTAGGTCATCTATAACCGAGCCACTATTAGAAGCAGGGTAAAGCCACAATCCCTATAGAAATCGCACTAGAGTCTCAACTTATGTAGCGGTACAAGGGCTAGTTCTGGTACACAGTTTGGGAAGGAGTGGGAGCACCACCTAATCTTACTCCCATTAGACGTTGACTAAGGAGCACTAGAGGCATCAAACCTAACCCTCTTGAGAGGAGAGGAGGGAAAGACACCACCCTAAAAGTAAATAAAGTCCCCAGATCAACATTCAGAGACAAAGTCAGTTAGTGACCAAGCACCAGGGAGGCGCTGCCCATAGCAAGACTCAAGGTGTCCCCTAAACACAACAGTGCCCAAGACCTTCTAGCGTCGCCCAAGGTGCCTGACCAGCCTCCTAGCATCGCTCAGGGCGTCTTGCCAACATCTTGGCATCACCCAAGGAGCCTGTCCAACCTCGAGCGTCTCTCAATACGTTGCCCAACCTCCTAGCATTGCCCATGGCTCTTTACCAACCTCTTGGCGTCGCCCAAGACGCCTGCTAGCCTCCATTGACGCCCACAACAGCCTCCACCATCGCCCAAGACAATAAAAAAAATAGTGAGGAAGAGGCCAGCGCCCAAGGAGACGACGTCTAAGACAAAAAAAAAAAAAAAAAGAAGAAAGAGGCGACGGCCAAGCAGCCAAAGCAAGGAGAAAAAAGAAAAAAAAAAAAAAAAGGAGGAGGAGGCGCTAGACCAAAGGAAGAAAAGAAAAAAGAGAAAGAGAGAGAGAGAGGGCGACGTCCAAGAAGAAGCCAAAGAAAAAAAAAGGGGGTAGAGTGCAAGAGGCAGCGCCCAGGCTAAACCAACCAAAAAAAAAAGAGAAAGGGAAAAGGTCAGTGCCTAGAAGGGCAGCGCCCAACTAGGCTAGGAAGAAAAAAAGAAAAGAGAAAGAAGAAGGGGCGGCGCCCAGGACAACTAAGAAGAAAAGAAAGAAAAAAAAAAGAAGAGGAAGGGAGGCGGCGTTAGGACAGCCAAGAAGAAAGAAGACAAAAAAAGGGAGAGAGATTAAGAGGGCGGCGCCCAGGACAGCAAATGAAGAAAAGACAAAAAAAAAAAAAAAGGAGAGGGGAGAAGGCTCGCCCAACAGCCAAGACAGGCAAGGAAAAAAAAGAAGAGAAAGGGGGAGAGAGGTCAGGAGCCCAATAGCCAATCCAAAAAAAAAAAAATTATGTTCGATACCGATCAATACAACAGAGTCCTGAAGACGTGGAAGATTTCAACTCACTCCGATGAAGACAAAGCACATGGCTGCGACCCCTTCCTCTCGAAAAATTCAGAGGCTCGGGACATGGGGGGCAAATGATGAGTCCGAATTTTACTGGATCAAGCCCAATAAAAATAAGCCGAGAAAGCCCAAAGAAAAGTCCAAGAACAGATGGATCAACCAAGAAGTCAAGTGGGAGTCCAAAACAGAGACCCCGCCCATGTGGCCTCAAGTGGGCGCCGTCCATGCCTTGCCCATCCTCCCCTCCTCACTTCACTCCAATGCAAGTCCAAGATCACTCTAGGTCCAAGTCCAAAGTCAAGTATAGGCTCAGTCCAGTTTAAGACCCTCCTCCGAAGAAATAGGAGCAAAAGGGAGAAAACATCGGGATAGGCACAGAGATCTCCTACCATAGCTGTACTTACTAAAATAGTAGAAGTCTTCCTCCTCACGTCACTGCCTCACTACCTCATCACACCTATATAATGTAAGCCCTCTCCATATAGAGGGCAAACTCTCATAACCTTGAGATCCCTACACACACTACACCTTTCTACATACATTGATCTCTCTCTCTCTTTAAAGCACTGTAATACATCAGAGTTACTCTCCTGGTGACACTGTTCATTAATAAAACACCCCAGGCCACCGTCGCCGTTCTCAGGAGTGGAGTAGATCACCCGGACCGAACCACTATAAACCTCTGTGTTTTTTCCTTATTTATTGCTTTAATCATTAATTGCCATTGATTGCCTGTTATTGCTCACTAATTGCATCTGTTCGTATACAAGACTGTTGATCTTGCGCGAAAATAATTTTGTGCATCATCAACTACCCCCAGCAAAAGATCAGGGGTTGACAGATTAGAGATACTCCGATGCATAAGTCAGTATGGATTCTCAGAAATAGGTTAGATGATTTACTGGGTTGATCTTGTGTTGGTTGACCTTCTGTCATAGTTACCGCTCTTCCTTGGGTTTCTACTGCTGGCTATATGCGGTGACACCTTAATCTCAACCAGATTCTTCTGGATTGACACAAGTATTTATTGATTTGTGTTTATCTTCCTATTACTATAATTATCTTTGATTCCATGGAATAATTTTTTTTTTTAACAATATTCCATGGAACAATTCAATTGTCCTTCTTTTCAAGACATAGTTATTTTGTTCCTCAAGTTACTTTACTTGGTTTGATAATCTCTTGCTTGGTCAACTGACAATCTCTTGCTTAGTTGATCTTTACTCAGGCGTTCTTATTTAGGATATGCCTATCCACATGCCTAGTGACAGACTGTCACTTCTTAGCTCAGAAATATTGAGCCCCTTCATTTACCCCTAGAGTGCGCTAAGGGTCATTCTCTGTTGAGCCACCATTACTTACATTAATGTTTCTTCACTGATAAAAAAAACATTAATGTTTCTTCTATTTGAGTCCTTTCATTGTCTCAAACGGTCAATAGTATTAATGGTGGGGGTTTTTTCATGCATCAAGAGCCTTCTCACCTCCTACTTTTATATATAATCCCAGTATGCCTCTTCTTCCTTTTTACCTTCCTCCATGGCAACATTCTGAAGCTTTCTTTCTCTGAAATTTTTTGTAAGTTCTACTCCTCTCTTCTCATAATGGGAAAATTGCATGAGGGTAACGTACCCGAGTTTAGGTCTAAGTATGTCATTCTTGATGACGATATCATCAAGGCTGCCAATGATAGGCCATATCTAGGCTCTAGAGAAGTATTCCCTTTTTTCCCACTAGGGTAGTAACTGAGGGTGGAGTTAGGTTCCCTCTCCACCCTCTACATTTGTGGGTATTTTATGCCTTAATTAAAACTACATCCTCTTCAGTGTTGTCATAATTTTTTAGGATAGTAATGGGGGTGGTAGCTTTGAATAATATTTTGGAAATTAACCTAGGGCTGTGGAAGATTGTGCATTGCTATATTGTTACTTGTACCACTAAGAAGAACTACTACTTTAGGGTTATGTGGATTGATCACTATCTGGTCACTCATCTCCTAGACTCGGACAAAAGGGCATGAGAATGATGTTTTCTTTGTTTCGAAAAACTACGAACATAGAGTTGGCGAGGCACCTCGCTACAACCATCCATATGAAGTTGGGGAATGAAGTGGGTGCCCCAAGTAGTTTTTTGTTATCTCACTTTTACCATTTCTTATTTTTTCTAATTTCTTACTTATTTTGATGTGCATAATCCTTCTGCCTTTGTTTATGTAGGTGAAACCGTCAAGGGAAAAATACATAAGTCAAGTGTAAGGATCTCTGATCTTCACAAAGTTTGAGAATTTGGTACCAAGGACCACTGGTGCCGAGTTGCCTACATACTGCTTGGCTACGTTCTGTTATACCATTCCTTCATTGTAGTCCCATCTATGACGTCTCAACAACTTGCTGAGCATAGAGCTACTCGGGCTGTGGAAGTTCACCTTCATTGCTTCCAAGGAGGCCCCAAAAATGAGGAATGGGAAGGGGCCGAGTTGCGACTAACATTATCGATCTTGTCTTGGGTCCAGCCCTTAGAAGTACTTCTAGTTTAGGGTCCTCTTCTGAAAATGTTTCTGCACCTCCAGTTCCTTCTGAGATTGCTCCCTAATGCACTCCATCGGATCAATTGAAACAAGGGAATAATCCTTATCCTTCTGGGATTGCAACCGATCCTCCTCCCAAGTCAGTTGATTTAGAGGAGGACGTGGATCCCAATGAATATTATGTGTCCATCACTGAAACTGGTACGTAGACAGTAGTTAAACAAGAGAAAAGTGCAATTAACCCGTTGATCAATGAGCTTATGGGATCTAAGGGAACCCTTTCCTGGAGACCCCATCTTTGAGCCCATGGTTGGGAAATTCATGCCAAGTACTTTGAAGTTGATGATATTGACGTTGTAATAGGTCTTGCTAAAGCAGTGATTGTTTTGTCTAACCTTCGAATTTCTAAGGATCTAGATGACGACTCATTAGCCTTGAGCTTGCCAACCCCATATGTATTTATTTACACAAACACACACAGATATATATATATATATATGTATTAGTTTCTCCTTTATATTTTTTAGAGTCTTCAACAGAAGTTTGATCTTAGCTCGAGGACAATGAATAAGGACAAAGAAGTGAAGAAGGTGCTTCTTTAAAGTTCCCAGGTGTTGCGAAAATGCAATACTTTGAAGGCTAATTATGTGAAGGCGGCTGGGGAGATTGATCGACTTAAATCTGAAGTTGCAAGACATTGTGAGCTGAATGAAGAGCTTAACAAAATACTAAAGGAGGTCGTCAAGTCCAAGAAGGTAGCCTTGAATGAAGCTTCTCACTTAGAGCAACTTCAAGGGGCAATGTAAATGAGGTCTGGTAGCTATTTTAGATAACAAGTCCATAAATTCTGGCTCCAATGGGCTATGTATCTCACTCGGTATTACCCATAATCCAATATGGGCTCGCTGGATGTGGCGACCTCCAAGGCTAGCTATTCCTCAACAGAAGCTCCAAAATCTCTGGATTTGTGTCAAGCTCAATCCACATAAGACATCATCTTCATCACAAGAAATCAATCCACAGAAGCTCCATCGTCTTCATCATCGCAGATATGCTCTTTCTCTCTCTCTCTCTCTCTCTCTCTCTCTCTCTCTCTCTCTCTCAGAGAAACTCCATCGTCTCAACTTGGGATTTTTGGGTTGGGTTGGGTTGAGAAGATCAAAAACTGATCACAACTTGGGATCTTTGGGTTTAGTTGACGATTTTGGAGATGGGTTCGAGCTGATTTTGGAGGTGGGTTCTGTTTTTGTGAGTGATTTGGGATCTTCCATCGATCTTGATTTAGGGTTTTCAGGAAGATCAAAATAGATCCTGAAGGTGTATATCATTGTTTTGTTAAAGTACATGTGATGAGCTCTTCTTGTATGATATTTACTCTTGTAGCCCATTTTTTATGATATTTATTCTTGTAGCCCATAATTGATTAAATTTATACAATGTATAGTTGAATTGCTATTTTTTGAATTTTATTATTGAAAGTTAGTTAAAGTTAATTGAAGTGGTTAGCTAAAATAGATAGCGTGATTGGAGTGAATTTGAAAAGTAGTTAGCTAAAGTAGATAATACAATAATACAAAGAGCTTCATTACTCTATGCAAATGGAATTTAGCCTGTTGTCTCTGTTACTCCAATTGATTCTATCGAATTGGTTATTGCTTCTATTTCAACTGACTATGTCGACCATACTATTGATCTTTCTACAATCTATTAATTTTTGTTTTAAAAAAAATTGTGTACCAATTTTGTTAGATGTATAAAATGGTATTATATTTCATATTGTCTTCATAATCATGTATTTTTGCAAACTGCCAGTCGTGTAGGCCAGAATTTTTTGAACACTTCATCCACTTTTCCCCCAATAAAAAGGGATGGGCCTTGATAAGGGGCTAGGGCCTTTTGAACACTTACAATTTCTACCCACTATTCTCCTACCAAAGGGGCCCGACCTTGGCAAGAGGGTAGGGCCTCACTTGGAAATTTTTTAGTGAACGCTTCCCCCAACAAAAGGGCTCGGCCTTGATTGTGAGCTAGGGTCTGCTAATACTTGTAAATATTTTAATGCCCCTTCCCTAATATAGAGGCTCAGCCTTAATTGTGGGCTAGGGCCTAATAATACTTGTAAACATTTTAATGCCCCTTCCCTAGTATAGAGGTTCAACCTCGATTGTAGGTTGGGGCCTACTATAAGGACTAAATGATTCTTACGACATCGACCTACCAATTTACTCAGTCTCAAATTTTTGTCCATACGGGATTACATCATTGTGCCTAGCCTCGGGTCTAAGTTTGATCAGCTAACTACACCTAATGTTGGCCAATGCCTATGTCAGGATTTGTGCCCTCCTTACCACGGCAGTAGGTTGTGCCATTTCGGGGGTTCCCTTGGTCTTTTGCCTAGAATTTCATTCTCTGGTCTTTATCCTTTGCCTTGGAAAAGTCTCATTGTGTAGTGAATCTTCCATTCGTACTTTGAATTGCTTATCCAAAAGGAAATAAACAATGCACTTTGTGTCAAAAGGACAATGTTTATTAAAACTATAACCAAAAATAGCGCAAAGTAAAATGCTGCTTGGGTTAAAAAAAGGAAACCTCTGCTCCCAATAACACAAAGTAGAACACTGACTAATTGCACCTCTGTCTCGAGATTGAAGAAAGCTTCTAGCACTTTTCACATTGCCTTAAATATTGTTGTGCGCCTTTTGCATATAAGGCTACCAGTATCCTTGGAAAATTGTTCAGTTGTCAAGTGACCTTCCGCTTGTATGAGCTCCGTAACTTCCTTCATGGACCTCGACTAGAAAGTCTTGGACCTTGCTTGGGTGTACGCCTAGTAGGTAGGGTCCTGTAAACAACAGAGGTATTCTCTTGGTGACAACAGAGCCTAGCCACTATTAGGTTGAGCTTATGAGCTTCCTTCTTGTCATTGGGGAAGATGCCATCTTTCAAAAAATGCTTGATGGGATCCATCCAGCTAAAGGATTTTTCGACCGCAAGTACATCTAACGACGTCCCTCAAAAAATGCTAGGTTGTGCTTGACTTTCTACAAGGATAGTTCTACAGGAATTGATTTTTATTGATGTGGCTACAATTGCCAGTGCATCAAAATGCAAGTTCTTTGTTTTGGAAACTTTTCAATGGTGCTATTGGGAATGTTGCTCATCTCTACAGTTGCCAATTGATTATAGGCTATCATTCGTCAAGTGTTCTTCGGTTAACTAGTTGACCATGAGTTGAGAATCAAAATTGATGTTTAACTGCTCAATGCCCATATCATGTGCAAACCTTATTCCTATTATTAAGCCCTCATATTCTGCTTTATTTTTTGTCAAGCCAAATTCTAATCTAACCGCCTTTTCTAACATATCTCCGTAGGGGGATTCCAAAATCAAGTTGACTTCGACTCCCTTGTGATTGCTAGACTCGTCGATATACAAATTCCATGGGGTCTTTTGTTTCCCCAACTCCAAGACCCCAAGTGAGTTCAGCTAGAAAATCTACAAATCTCCTTGTGATTACTTGTCCCGTTATTGTTGTGTGTGCTCCAAAAAGGATATCAAACTCCCCGCGTTCAATAGCCCACTTTGAGATTCTTTAAGATAGGTTGGCTCACCTAAAAAGGGCCTTGAAAAACTAATTAGTCAAGAACTTCACTTTGTGTGTTTGGAAATAATACCTTAACTTTCTAGCTAAGCTGACAAATGCAAGAGCGAACTGTTCCGATGGCAAGTATTGAGCTTCTGCATCAAGGAGGGGCATCAAGGAGGGTTTTGCTAATGTAGTAAATCGACCTCATCTCTTTTTCTCATAGCTTTTTCAAAACCCCGCTGACAATGTGTTCTGAGACTACGAGGTACATGTACAACAGTTCCCCCTTCTCAGAGTTATGAGCAGGGGCGGTTTGACCAAGTAAGCTTTCAATTCTTTGAATGCTCATCGCACTCCTGCATCAAAATGCCCTGTTGATTAGACTTGGATATTTTGTTATTTTTATGTTGATTATTGGTTAATTGCATTTGGGTGAGGCATTAAATGTGTTAAATTGATTAAGTTTTGATATCATCTTTTTTTTAACGTTTTTCCAATTTTGCAAGTAAATAGTTGAATTAATAATTTGAAGGATAAAGCAAACAAGGAGAAGGGACAAAAAGCATTAAGGAGCAACAAGGAGTTTTCTACCTAATGCATTTGAATGGTGGACAAGACGTGTCCAAACAGTAGTTCTAGAAGTTGTATAGAGATGAATGAAGACATGCGTTTGGATGAAAGACGATGTGCATCTGAACTAAACTTCCACGGGAAACAAGGAAAAGACATTGTCGAGTGCATTCGGATAGTACAAAACATGTGCCCAGATATGATGGATAGAGAGGCCAAGGAACATTGCCTATATAAATGGATATATTTCTTGCTTTGTGTCCATCTTTGAGAAGCCTTTTCTCTTCTAGCCTTATTGTATTTTCTTTTGGGCGGCAAAAAGCCTAACTAAAGGTAGGAGAAAAGCTTTTAATGAAACACAATATTATTTTTGATTCAATATTCGTTTAATATATGATTTATTCTTTTAATTTAATTTTTTTCTTTTAGTAACGTTTTTTCGCTGTATAAATTTTTGATTTTTTGTGTCATGTACATCGAATGTTTAAGATTTCCTACAAGTCAAATAACTGGTTATTCTATTCTTGATTTAATTAAATAGATTTTTTTTCATAAAAATATTTAATTTCTTATTTTTTATAAAATTAGGATTTATTTGTTAGAAAGCTTGATTTATCGTAGCCTCTGAGAATAATGAATGCTTGCGATCTACAAGTAAATTCCTAAATTTATTCAATTAAGTTAATTAATTATACTTTTGATGTCTTCACATTATCGCCGCTAAATATTTCAATTGGGATCACTCCTCAACTGATTTTCATTTGAGTTCATAAATTAGATCGTTAATAATTGTCGTGTGAAATTGAAAGTGTATCCCCGATGCTTTAGTATTTTAAATTACTGTTTTTAACAACTCAATTTATGTTCTCTTGAACAAACAACTCTTTTAAACAACCTCAAAGTAATTTTGTTTTATTTGTCCTTGTATTCTAAGTCTCTCACAATTCTCTATGGTACGACCTCAAACCTCCGAGTTTATGTTACTATGCGATAACTTACATTTGGGTTTATCAATATTTAAGTTGTAGCACTTGCCTTCCTTGATTTAGGGCTTGGAAAAATGGCCAACATACGTTAGAGACTCTTGATATAACCTGTTTAGGGCCGTCAGCATAACTTCTTGTTTATGCACCTCTTTCACATTCGTTGTGGGTTGTAGTTCAATTAGTGCCTTCACTTGTCCAAGATTAGCCGCAATTCCCCTTTTTGTCACGAGGAATCCTAGAATTTTTATTGAACCAACCCCAATGGCGCATGTCGAGGTGTTCAACTTCATTTCGTATTGTCGAAGTGCATTGAAAGTTTCTAGAGGTCATATAAATGGTTGGCCGCCTTGAGGCTCTTTACTAGTATGTCGTCGACATATACCTCCATGGTTTTTCCCAACAAATCCTTAAACATTTGGGTGACCAACCATTGATAGGTTGCTTCAGCATTCTTAAATTCAAAGGGCACCACTTCGTAGTAGAAAATCCCTCTTGGAGTAATGAAAGAAGTTTTCTCTTTTTTTTTTTTTAAAGAAAGAAGTTTTCTCTTAATCTTGTTCAAGAAGGGGGATTTGGTTCATCCACGAAGCTAATTGGCTCATGTCTGGATATGGCATTGACCATCTGATCTATTTTCAGGAGGGAAAAGCTGTCTTTGCGGCAC